TTAATGAATTGTAAAGCCCGGTGATCACTGCACAAAATAAATTTCTGATGTAGAAGATACGGCTCCCACTGCTTGAGTGCTCGCACGACTGCGTAGAATTCATGTTCATATACACTCCACTTTTGCCGAGAGGGGCAAAATTTCTCACTGAAGAACTCAACTGCTCGGTTGTCTTGGCTTAAGACGACGCCGATGCCAATGCCCGATGCATCCATGTCAACGTGAAATGGCTTGTCGAAATTTGGTAAAGCCAATACAGGCGCGGACGATAAAGCTAGTTTGATGGCCTCGAAACTGTGTCGTTGATCGTCTCCCCAATAGAACTGCTTCAGTTTGAGACAGTCGGTGATAGGTGCCATAACCGTGTTGAAGTATTTTATGAATCGACGATAAAAGTTAGCAAGCCCATGGAAGCTGCGTACATCTGTGAAGGATCTGGGGATTGGCCACTGTGTGATGGCCTCTACTTTGCGACTGTTCACTTGCACTCCTGCAGATGACACTACAAATCCAAGAAAGTAGACAGTAGAGGCAGCGAATTTGCACTTACTTGGGTTCAGATAGAGCTTATTTTGCCGCAGGACAGTGAGAATTTTTGTGAGATGCTCCAAGTGATCGTCCGTTGAGGTGCTAAATACGAGGATATCATCAAAGTAGACGACGCAACAATCATTGATGAATGGTTTGAGAACCTCTGGCATTAATCGCATGAAAGTAGACGGTGTGTTGCATAGTCCGAAGGGCATGACCCTCCATGCATACAAGCCCTGCCGCGTCTTGAAGGCCGTCTTTCACTCATCACCCGGACGGATCCGGATTTGATGGTACCCACTTTGAAGATCTAGCTTGGAGAAGATGGTGGCGCCGGCAAGTTTCTCTAACAGCTCCTCCACACGTGGCACCGGAAATCTATACTTAACGGTAATTTTGTTGATGGCGCGGCTGTCCATACATAAAAGCCAAGTGCCGTCTTTCTTGGGGACCAATAGCGCCGGAACTGCACAGGGGCTTAGACTTGGTTGAATCAAATTGTGCTTTAACAGCTCATCCACCAATTGCTGTAATACCTGATGTTCCATGGAACTTAATCTGTGATGGGGCAGATTTGGAAGTGATGATCCCGGTATTAAGTCAATATGGTGTTGTAAGGTTCTTAAAGGAGGTAGAGTAGCTATTGTTGGCTCAGTTAATACATCCTTGTATTGATTCAACCAGTGATCGATTGCTTGCGACCCTTGTTCAAAAACAGATTCTGGAGCTGACTCATGGATTACCAGGGCGAATAACATAGAGCTTTCCTGATATGAAGATAGTAGGCCGTTGCCTGTAACAAAATGCAAAGCAGGTGGCACCGTCCCTATCTTACCTCCCTGATCGGACGGGTGAGGCAGTAAACGAAGCCGTTTGCCTTTCCATTCTAGAGAATAAGTATTAGCACGCCCATCATGAATTGCCCCCACATCGAATTGCCATGGGCGACCTAAGATTAGGTAACACACATCCATGTCGACCACATCACACAGCACTTCACACGAGTAGTGTTTACCTATGGAGAATTGAATCTGGCACATGTCAGTCACCATGATTTCCATACCTTTTTTAACCCAGCTGATCTTGTATGGTTGCGGGTTCTTTGTGGTTTTAAGCTGTAAGGCTTGAACAATAGCACGAGAAACCACGTTTTCTGTGCACCCGCTGTCGACGAGTAAGTCGCACACCTTCCCTGCGATGGTGCATTTGGTTTTAAAAAGAGAGTGCCGCTGTGAATTAGATTGCTTCCTTGGTGCTAGCAGCAACTTTTCTAAAACACAAACTAGCGACTCCCCTTCATCGGCCACCACATCTTCAACATCTGTGTGATTCTCTTCCCCGAGAAGATCCTAGTCAAATTCTCCTTCCCCATCGAGTACTTGGAACTGCTGCCGATTAGGACACTCATTGGACTTATGTCCAGGTCGAAAACACCGGAAGCATTTCAGTCCCTGTGGCCGTGGATAGAGATTTTCTCTAGGAGGACCCTTCGGTTTTACAGGGACTTGAGGATCAGAACTCTGCTTTGCTGAATTTGCTGATTCGCTGTTATCCGCCATGGGAGTAGTCTTGCGATTGCTGGTTCCTGGTGGTTTCAAAGTGTCCGTCCCAGTTTCCACTACTGCTCTTCGGTATGTGCTGCTTCGCCCATGACGTGCCAGCTGAGTCTTAGCTTTGAACGCAAAGTTAATGGCCTGGGAAAGTGACTATACTGAGTTCATCTCCAATTTATCTTGAATACTGTCTTTTAAGCCTCCAATGTATCGGGCGACCAACTGATTGGTGCTTTCGTTTAGGTCATTCCGAGCCGATAAGCTATAGAATTCTTCTGTATATTCGCTAACGGATCTGCTACCCTGTGAGCAGTGTTGGTATTTCAGGTATAACAATTGTTCGTAGTCGGTGGGGAGGAAATGCCCTCGCGGGAGTTGTTTCATTCGCATCCAGCTACGAACTGGCCCGCGTCCTTCTTGTCGCCGCAACTGAAGTAACTGCGACCACCAGGCAGTCGCTCCGCCTTTGAGCCTGCAGGCGACATACTTGACCTGTTTCTCCGGCTCCATCTCCATATAATCAAAAAAATTCTCGACGGAGCGTTCCCAATCTAAGAAGTCTTCAATGTGCAACCTCCCTTCAAAGAAAGGAATGTCCAACTTAACTCGGAATTCACCTTGGTGTCGGTCACGTCCCAGGTAACGACGTGGTCGCCGCTCCTCCATTTCAACGTCTGAATCAGATAATCCAGTGGGATGATTGGTGGCGAAATCTTCTTCCGAATCTGAAAAATCAGGAATGACGGCTGCACATCATTGGTCCCGACGATGAATACCTCTGTTCGCATCGATGGGGGTATCTATGGTCGGAGCAGGTCTTCCGATCCTCAGTGGGGCTTCGCCAGTTCTGGCGAATGTTGGCTCACAGCGTAAGGCGGCTGTGAGGCGATCTACCGCGATCTACGGCGGCAACCATTTCGTCCAGACGTTTCTCTACTCCAGCGTGCGCAGCCCAAAGTGCCTCCAAACTTCGGTCATCACCACTCGTCGCACGCTTGCTGGATTCTGCCATCTTACCGAGCCACTGGCTCTGATACCAATCTGAAGAGGTATGCGGCGGAAGAAGCAGGTTCACAAGATAGAACACAAAGAACGAAGGCAAGATAACAGTATTGGCGAAGGCCATAAATACTATTTCATCAACTGGTTTCTTCATCTTCTCCGGGAGGAGAAATACAAAATGACTAATACTAAAATTAGCTAAAGGCTAAAAGAGAGTGCCTGTACATATAACTAAATAAGGCAACTAAGGAGTGGAGCAGCTGATAAAAATAACAGAAAGCTGCAGGAAATATTCTAGAAAGGAAAACAAAAGGATAGTGTGCACCAGGTAGACATGGTGGAGCCACGATGATGCTCCGTAGCCAGATGATGCTCCGCATCAGATGCTGACCAAATTTTTAACCAATTGCATTTCTTTATGACAACTGCTTCTCGGAGACGGGGTCATTCATGGCAAGTATCTCAGTGAGAATCTATTAGATACCTATGAAGTATGTACATCGATATGTATAATTATATATACCTATTTAAAATCTGCTACACATTTCAATTGTCCTACCGAATTTGTAGAATATGTGTTGAGATGTTCAAGGATAGAACAAAACCCAAATTTGATGGGACCATGGTCTTCATGTGTCGTTTTCGTGGCAATGTTCCTATTTTACTTTTTTTTATAGTTGTAATGATTCTTGGATTATACAGAATGTTATTGATGTTTTGATTTTCTGCAACTTATATAAAGTGATTTATTGGAGGATTGCGGGTTATTGGCTTTTGCAAATCTTTTTAAATCATAGCCTAATCCAAGCAGTATAGTCCATTTGGTTCGAGAAGAACCTGAAAATATCTAATAGCTGCGATATTTAGAATTAGGAAGAGAAAGAAAAGGTAGTCTTACCAGTTGCTAGTATAAGACTTTGAGTTCGTCTGTATGTCTCGCACAATGGTTCAGAATTCAATTTATGTGATGAAAAATGCTAGTGGTTCAATGTTATTAGTTTTTTCTCCCTAACAAAATTTTTACTTTGCCTCTACATTTAAGATTATTTTCAATATCAGCTTTTTTATTATTTGACTGTGGAACAAAATAAATAATTTTGGCATAGAGAAATTAATAGAGAAGAGATTTTGAATGAGGGTTTAAAATTTAAGTGCTATCATGATATTCTATTAATGAGATATATTTATTAGGATATCCTCACCTCACAGATATTTATGAACATTTGTGATCTAGCCACCTCCAAAATGTGTCTATTTTCAGTAGCTCTATTTTATTGAGAGGTGTTGACGTTGGGACTTTGGTAGATAATCCATTGATGTAGAAAGTTTGTTGTCATAGTGTCGGAGTTGTAGGTTTCTTACTAATTTTTTTTAGGCAATTGCAACCATCCTCTTCCTAAGAGGATTCTCCACATTTTTTTATCATTCTATTGATGAAAATTAGCTTTTAATGTTGTTAAAAGACTTCTTCGCTTTAAGAAGGAACACCGTGTTGAAAGACTTTGAAAACATTACCGAGTAGAGTCTTACTGACTTCGATACCATTTTGAAAATTAAAAACAGAAGAAAAAGACTAGAAAATGGGAGATTTTATGAGCGAATTTGTTATCATCTTGAGCTTCTAGATATAGTTCACTTCCTAATGAGATATATATTCGATCCATTTATATCTGTTTTACATTTATCTAATTACCCATACAGAAATAGTCCTGTAATTAGCATCCCTGTCTTCTTACCTCCTAGCTTCTTTGGTCTTCCCATTCTCTCTCCCTTTGTCGGAGAACAAAATAAGGGGCTTTACCCTATTCCTTGAATTAGTGTTGCCATGGCCTTGGCACCAAGAAACAATCTCCGACGCATGGAGAGATTTATCAAAATTGCATGGCTCAAGTTTTTATCGATCTGTTTGCTCAGGTAACATTGCCAGACGGGAAAGAAAGAGATCGAAGGAAGGACCTACTCATCATTCGTGATGGTGGAACATCCTTCAAGATAATTGACAAGGTTGCTGAAATTTTCATTGTATCTCTATAAATTTTCTTCCTGCAATTATATATATATGCTGCTGCTGCTAATCCAATAGTGACCAAACGATGAACACAGAGCCAAAGGGATGATGCGACAACAGTAATAGAAAGGGAAGAGTGGATGGAGTCAAGGCGAGCCATGGAGAAACACCTTAGCAAACTTCGGGACTTCCACATTTCAAATTGGTTTTAATGAGCTAGTAATTCTAGCTGATGATGGCCATTTCAAACTACTCGATGAAGCAGAATTCATGATCTAAGTGGATTTGATTTCTACGGCAACTTACTTCCTGCTTTCGTAGCAATCTTAAGACAATCTTATGTTGCATTACTTGATTAATATGGCAATATAAGGCTGTGATGATGTGGTGTTGTGTGAGCAAAATTTATATGGAAAATGTCATGTTTTGTTTAGTGGTGCTTAGTTGCACATTGTATGTTTCAATGAGAAATAAAGACCTCATTATTTTTTTAGAGTGAAGTTATTTTTCGTATTTGATGCTGGTGATTGTGATGTTAGGGAGATGTATTTAGAGTAAATATTTAATTGAGCGTATCCCTCGCCCTTTATTTTTCTTATTGTTCAACAAGTGGTTATTTAATCTAATTTTCGACATGCAATAGTTTGTTTTTTTTTCTTTTGTTTATTTTTTATTTTTTGACCAAATTCAAATCATTGTATATTAAATCTTAATTTTAAAAATTAGTTTTTAAAATGTTATCAATTAATGCCTCGAATCTTTTGAGAATGCCGCTGTGATGCCATGGTGGGGAAAAATTATTTTGTGCAGAGTCTGGACAGGGAGAACTATCTGAATTTTTTGAGTATAATACTCAGTAATATTCGATAAATACTTACAATTGAATATTTATTGAGTATTTACCAATACTCAGTTGAGTATTTACAAATAGTTAGCTGAGTATTTGACGAGTAATTATAAATACTCAGCAAAAGTTTCAGTAAATATACAGTAAATTCGGATGATTCTCAACATCCGGATTCCTCATGTAATAATTGGATCTTGTTGAAGCTATAAGGGCATTTTTAACAGGATGTTACTATATACTCCAAAATTTGAAAGTGAGGCTTACATTCTATGATTGTACGATCACTATTTTATTCTTAATCAAAATGCAGCCAAATTTTATAGGGAGACCAAATGCTTTGAATTGACCAGATTACAAATTATTTATACATAATATTCATATTAAAATAAATTTTAGTTTAAAATTAATTCTAATTATTTTTCATCTCAACATTTTCCATCAAATCTTTTCCCAATTATTCTTGCATTGTTGAGTCCATATGGGCTAATATTTATATGTGCCATTGGCGATGAAAATATGAGAAAATGGCATCCCTGAGATGTGATCACATTAAATAATAAGGAATTGTATTAATAAATTTTATTTTAAGTGTTATGAAAAATTCATTAAAAGAATTTAAGGCTTCGTTTGTGACGGGTTTCTTATTGCTTCTTTAGGCAATTTTTAAGTATAAAAATTAAAAATTTTGTACTAAAAATTGTTTTTAGAAGTAGTAAGAAAGCTGTTCCAAACGAAACCTAAATCGTGAATCTCATTTGAATTGGAGTTCAATAGTTAGGATTCGTTTGAGATGGCTTTTGTACTGCTTGTTAAGGCACCTTTCTAGCATAAAAATTAAATATTTGTACTAGAAACTTGTTTTAAGAAGCGATAAGAAGGTCATCTCAAACGAAACGTTAATCTTACAAGATGAACATAATACAGGGTTTATTAAATAAAATGTGGAGTAGCAAATCCTAAGACTAACCCTTCAAAGAATTCTTTACCCTCATATCACAATAATGTACGAACCAGCCCTACCGAAAAAGCTAAACGTTCAATGCAATTCAATTGTAAAATTTAAGTTAACAATTTAAATCTTTAGTAAATTCATTTATCATATAGGACTTGGCCCAACGCTATTGTACATTTTGATTAAAAGAAGAATTCTATAGTACCTTTGAAAACTCTTTTACCCAATATTGTGAAAAACTAAGGACTTTCGCTAATTTAGGAGTGAAGAATACTAATCTACATGAGCTGCACCGAAACTAGACATTTAATCGAAGTCAAACCAACCATAAAATTACTCCAAAGTTAAAATACGGTAAAAACAATGTTTTTAACACACCATATATAGACATTTATCGTAGCAGATATGTCACCTCAAAATCAGATGTTTGGCTCAGTCTTTTTAAGTGCTGACAAAGAAGCATGATAAAAAAATCAACAGATGACTGTAGTAAATATTGAACTGCAAAGAGGGAGAAGGGCTTAGTGTTGTAGATGAGAGGCTTCTAAATGAGATCAACGTGAGTCGTAAGAATTCTTTTGCAACTGTAATGGACCATCCAAGAGCATCTAAAGCTTCGCTGCAAGTACTTAAATCAAGCTTTCATTTGATTGTTTAAGGAATTAAACACTGGATCTTTGTACTACTATCGCATTATAGATTACATGCTTGATACAAAAGTTGTTGGATTCATGTGTTCGTGGGTGATACCTAACCTAACTAGTAGGTGAGCTATGTGAGTACAACCTGAAAACCTATGAGAGAGAGAGAGAGAGAGAGAGAGAGAGAGAGAGAGAGAGAGTGTATAATAGCTCAAGTATATTTAGTATAAGTAGCACTTGGTGTAGAGAATGCTCAGAAGATCCCTCTTCACCATTTATTTATAGGGATCTGAGAGTTATAAGGAATGATACATCAATAATTGAATAAAATATACAAGACTTAACAACTCTATAGATTACACTAGACACTTGCTACACGCTAGATGGTTGTAGGGGGAATAGCCTTTTTTGAACCTGATTTGTTTGTTTTCGTCTGAGCTTAGTAGTATTGAGTACATTTTGATGAGTAAGTGCGGGAGAATCTCATGGTGAGTCATGCATAGCGATATCTGAGGCATCATAGTGCACTGGAATCTTTCTCTATTTTTGTTGCATCTCCATAATGCCTTGCTGAAAGAGGCAAGTGAGCATAGTTCATTGGGTTGACAAGATCCAAGGTCGGTCGATAATGTTAAGGTGAATTGTGGTTCTCTTAGATGCACGCCTTCTCTATAGTTGAAGTGGAGAGTGGATGAAGGATATCTCATCATGGATTATGAAAAATGAAATTGACCATGAGTTATCCTAAGAGGGGGTGAGTGACTAGTAAGACAACCCATCAGAATCTTCAGCTATTTAAGTTGGAGGCGACCCCCACTAAATATGTTGTCAAGCTAGACCTCAAGACTTTGGGTGAGCTTTCATATGACTGGTGCAAGTTCTCTTTTTGTAACTCCTTGACTACCTACTAACTAATTGATAAAAATATAAAAACACATATGAGAATTTAAATTTAATTCCCCAATTCACTTGAACCTTTGTTGGGTGAGTGATAAAAAAGATAAGTGAATTAATGAAAAATATTGAATAGGCTATCGAACTATTACAAAAGTGTAACTACAAAGTTACTACCTTATTTTACAGTAGACTCGATATCAATATAGATTCATTATGATGATGATGTGACACTACCCTTGACTGGCCTCTATAAAAAGTGGTTCGTGTTGGGATCCCTTGCTCCTTTGATCATTTAATTGGAACTATTAAAACTGGTGAGTGCTATAAAAATGGACGATGTCAAGTTAGCTTTGTTTATTATGAAAAAGAAGAAGAAGAAGTAGAACATTGCCTTTGGAGAAGGTAACAAGTCAACTAGGAGGGAGAGTAACATCTTACTATGTAAGGAGGCTGAGGGTGGTGATCAAACTATATAGGGATCCACTGAACCCCTTTATACAAGAGGGAAATGATTGAGCCAATAATCATGAGGCGACCACTCTCTGCTAACTAGGGTAGTAGGATTTGTTGAACTTGCTGCAATGAGTTTCAATGCAAAAAGCATTTGGATATTGTGCCTCTCCTTTGATTCGGATGACATCCTACTTAAGTTGAGATTTGTGAGGCAAGTTCCTTGAGCATGCCCATTGAAGGTGGCACAAATTAAGGAGTTGGCTTCTATTGGAGTCGTGGTGACCTTCTTTGAAGCTGGGCCCATAGTGAATGATGGTAAGAAGAAGAAAAATTATCTCAAGTGTTTGAAGAGAGATTTATTAGGTTGACAGGTGCCTTTTTGAAATTAATTTAATAATATGTATCTTCTCTAAAGAGTTTTTCGGGGCATTTATCGAGCAAGTTTGAGGCATTAACTTTAACATAGTGAGTACTTTGGCTATAAAAACATAATAATTTTGCACAAGAGGCTTCTAGTAATTCCTCTAAGTTTTCTTGGTAAGAGTTTTTGAATGGTTGATCCTTCACTATTGATAAGAGGGGTGCCTCCTGCACATTACACTGAAGATGCTGAGCCTTCAATAGTGGTGGATCAAGTTTTCATGGATGGTATAATTTTAAGGGTGGTCATTGAATAGAAAGAATTTCTTACCAATGCATTAGAGGATTACACCTACAAGGAGAAAGCGGTGATTAAGAGGCCACTTTACTCACTATACATGGGTCCTTATGGTGACAAAAACCCTCCAAAAGATCGACAACTACCTTAGAGGTGCTAGTTATGCTAGTTAGCATTATGGAGAGAATGATAAATTTACAATAAGTAGTGGGGAGGTAGACAACATACAAAGAGGTGCTGCTCCATAGTTAAGTGTCTAAATAGAAAGAAAATTCATGGCCTTAAAGGCATAGATTATAGTAACTCAAAATATAGTGAAGGTGAGTTCTTTTGTAGAAGGTGGAAAGTTCCTCCTATGATACATACAGAATTTAAGAGCCTTACCATTCAAGATGGAGAATGATCCAACATGTAGGATTTTGTTTTCGTGGTGATAAGTAGTCTCATGCCACTCTTTATTTGATTATTATGTATTAGGATATTGAATCCATGTAAAATCATTTTAATAAAATGTTCATATGTGGTTGATTACCTTTATCATATTCTCTATTTTAAAGATGTGAATACTTTATTTATGATATTTTGGTGAGCGCGATGTTTTTTATATTAAGACAAGTATTGCATTTTATGACAACATAGAGAGTGCCACATTCATGCCATTTTGTTATGTTATAATAAATGTACTCTGAATGAAGAGTAGAAATCTTTCAATATTTTTGACAATTTCAATTTTCATTCTATTAAGATGAGTTTATATATTACTTTTATGTTGCAATTTTAATATTATTTCACTAAATGGTGACTTGAAGCAATGTTGTGACTTTACTGTGAAGATGATTAAGTGGTGAGATGTATTAAAGTTTATCTATGATTGAATGTGTGTAAGGCCACTATTGGTGAGTACTAGTTAGGAAAATAGGTTAGGAGCTATAATATCTGCATGTAATATTGAAAAGGTGTGGATAATATTTGCACTTTTAATGTGGATATGATAAACACTCAATTAACTTCCTTTTGTTTTATGAAAAATAACAACTTTTAAAAACAAAATTTAGATGAGTAACTAATACAAGAGGA